TATATACCACATCTTCTTTATCCATTCATCTGTCGATGGACATCTTGGCTCTTTCCACAGTTTGGCTATTGTGGACATTGCTGCTATAAACATCAGGGTGCACGTACCCCTTCGGATCCCTACATTTGTATCTTTGGGGTAAATACCCAGTAGTGCAATTGCTGGGTATGTATGGTGGCTCTATTTTCAACTTTTTGAGGAACCTCCATACTGTTTTCCAGAGTGGCTGCACCAGCTTTATTGCTTTCCTTTTGACTAACTTTTAAACCGGGTGGATAGAAGTAATCCATGTTGAACACATCTTTGGCTCCTCGGACCTTCTTAAAGGACGATTTAGCCCAACTCATTGCTTGGCATGCAGGCAGCTCTGTTCTACAAAACCTGTTCTATAAAACCTCTTGGGTCTGTAAATTCTGCCCTCTGGCTTCACTGCTTATAAGCTGGAGAGGCAGTCCGAGTCCTGGCAGGTTCTCTTGGCTCTGGCTCATGCTCATCTTCTGACTACCACATGCTCACCATGCGGCTAACTCCCAGGGGCTTTGTGAACTGGGGCTGCAGGCTCTGCACTAGCCAAGACACACGTCTTCTCAAGGGGAGACTGTGTTACGGACAGCTTGGCGCCCTGTAGAGGTAGTTGTACCCACACATATCTGTCATCTTTACGAAGTCATTGAAAACATCTGTTGACAAGTGCTGCTTCTTACTCCCTTTCTTGTCAAGCTGAGGAATATTTTCTGCCGAGATGTGGGAGAGGCCGGAGGGCCTCATGTCACTGCGGTAGGGTATGGAAGGGACCGCATAAGGGAATTGGGGCCAAAAGACTAATCTTCCATACAAGTTCCAAAAATTTCCAGCAGTTGCCCTATAACTCGGGCATGATCGAGGAATAAGGCGCCAGTTAACCTTCTGCATTCAGTGTCATCTGCTTCCATTAACACTGAACGATTGCCAACACACTGCACAATGTTTGTAGTTAATTAATATCCATGGTCTTCTCTGGCTCTCCTCCCTTTCCCTTCCAGCAAAAACAAAACAGAATGAAAATGTAGGCTCCCCCAGAGTACCAAATTCAAAATTCCAGTTACCTGATACCATACTTCCTTTTTCTTGTGATGCAGACAAGTAATCCAACAAACAAAATAATGTAACCCATCTAGCATAGCAACTATGGTATGGCCAAGATCTATTTAAAAATGGTTTTCTCATAGGAGATTCTATACATTCTTCAAGAAACTGGTATTATACTTAGAACTAAAGGAGGCATAAGGTATCAATTAGCCCCACTGGCTGCAAAATTGGATCTTCCCAGTTGGTTTTTCCCAGTTCCAAAGCTAATGTGCTATTTCTTCCTGTTATAGTTATAACTAATATGGTTGTAATTAACTATATTAGTTAGCATGCTGGATTAAGGAAATATTATTACTGTAATTGGAAGGTGAAGTCTGTGTTGGTTGATGCATCCTACTGTTATTGAGGATGCTGGTTCTCTCTCTCATGCTTAGTGCACAGCCTCCTGAGACCACATACAGCAGCAGTTCATCCTAAATCTGGGTTCTTCTTGTGATTCAAGGCAAAAAAGGCTACATGTTTCCGTTTGTTTATGTTCTGTTGTTTATGTTCAGCAGTGGAGAACCTCTCTAACCACTGAAATGTAAGTGCTTATCTTCAATCTCTAGTTGGATCTTGTCTGATTGAAGTTGGTTGGGTCAACTTCAGGCATGTACCAGCTCCTGGACCATTAACAGTTGCTGGGAATTTCAGTGCTTTGGTTGGGATCAAATGAATTCTGGCCCTGGAGCCCAGTTATTGGGCTCAGTAACTAGAAGTCTCTTAGGAAGAAGGAAGGGGAAGTTCTGTATTGTGTAGGCAGTCTACCACACAAACTACAGGAGTGGGGATTCCCTCTGCCTCCTTTCCTTGATTTTATGGCCCACTCAGTAGGTAGGTCAACTGTTTATAGTTACTTACGTATTTCTCCTGCTCAGGTCATCAGAAAAACTGGTTACTTAAAAACATTTCACAACACACACTTTTTTAGACTATGTCCCACCAAAAACATTATTTGCCCTAGCAATCCTACATTAGTGAGTTTTGATTTAACACTGCCTAACATTTCCCGGTGATCCATCTGGGTGATCTTCTAACAATAGTGTCAATAAAAGAATATACTTGCATTTTTGGAGAAATTTCCAATAAGATGATCTCTTCAAATAGGTTGATGTTATTGTTTTTTTCTGTTGTTTTTCCACCAGTAAAACTTACCTAGATTATTTTCAATATTTTGCTCCTTTGACTAGCTCACAAATGGGACTATAAAAAGTCAGCTAGGAACTTCTAATATGGAGTTGAAGGGGCCCCCTGTCTGTTGCAAGTTTCCAGTCTTGCTGGTTATGTCTTTAGAGCTGTGTTATTGGGACATGACTTAGTTAGCTTTCTAAAAATAGGAAAGCTGAATATCAAACGTCGTATGTGCCAGGAACTGAATATTTAATGAGGAGATATTTTATCTAAGTAATTGGAATTTCTGACCTTAACTGTGTGTGTGTGTGTGTGTGTGTGTTTTGGAATTGTTGGTTACTGAAATTCGCATTTGGAAAACCCTTGTGCTGTCTTGTTGTATAGAAAAGTGAAACCTAGTTCCCACTTTTAGGACTTGCCTTTTAAATCAGGTGAACGCCCTGTACACTTTTAGAACTAAAAACACATTTGCAAGGTGACTGACTTAGGCTCCGGGTGTCAGTGAGGCTGACTCATCATGACCTTCGTGATGCTGAGGTGACCATCACTTAAGGTTATGGTTGACTGCATGGGCTGCTAGACATAGCCACTTAAAAATGCCAGTCTACATCTTTGTGTGTCCTCAAATTAGTCGTTGTCCATCTTAAAGAAATTCAGTGCTCTTCAAGTTTTGCCCCTCTGAAGTTTCCCCCAAATACAAATTTTCAAGAATTGAATGAGAAAGAAACTTAAAAAGGCAAAAAAGCAGAGAGCATGTTTAGGGTAACAAGTCAGAGGTATTTTGTTGTCTAGGAAGAAGGGGCCTGTGATGCAAGGCCATATAACAATGGATGTCACATGCCATTGGGTTCCCATCCCAACTCCGTGTCCCTTGCCTCTGGCAGGAAGCCCAGGTATGACTTTCTGTCTTCAGAGTCTGAATGTGGTCTGATCGGATTTTGAAGGCTCTTGGCATGAGTCCAGATTCCAAAGTTACCTTGATATTGTTTATTTATAAAAACTAGCTCTAACTGAGCAGACTTCAAACTGGATGAGAATCCATACCAGGGTGGATTTTTTTCTGTTAATATATACCGGGAGTGTGTCTGAGAACATTGTCTCTGTGTATCCTCACCCACTCCTACTGACAAATCTGAGGGCAGGTATTGAGCAGGAATGTGACCGAGATTACGTGGGCTGTTTGGATCTACCCGCCACCAAGCTGCATTAATATCTACTCCAAGACAGATGCTTTAATACTAAACATAAATTATAACCTGTGTCCTTTCTTTCCTCTAATTAAAAGTAAATTTTTAAGGAAGTCTTGGGGTGCTTGGGTGGCACAGTTAAGCACCTGACTCTTGGTTTCGGCTCAGGTCATGATCTCAGCGTACTGGGATCGAGCCCCACTTCAGGCTCCGTGCTCAGCATGGAGTCTGCTTGAGATTCTCTCTCTCTCTCTCTCTCTGCCCCTCCCGCTTGTGCTGTCTCTCCCTAAAATAAATAAAATTAAAAAAAAAAAAAAGAAATCTTTGTGGTTCAACTAGGTTGAAAATTCAGTAAAGAGTTTTGAAACTTATTTCTACTTTTCCTTTTAAAAGGAAAAGGAGTGTTAGCAGTTAAAATTTTGCAGTTAAAATATGTGTTAGGGGGTTTGTAATTGAAACCGATGGTCTGGTCTCTAGCCTATGACAGATCTAGAACCATATGGTATTTCAGCGGTCTGCATAAGCATGTAATTCTACCTCACACAGCTTGGAATCAAAGAATATCTTGCCCTCATTCATTCAGGCTGCTCACTGCGTGTTCCTTTTGGCCAGGCACAGTGGGCAGAGCTGGCGATACAAAGAAGCTATAGCACAGAGAGGAACGTATACACAACAGGATGTGTGTGATAAAGTTAATGGAGCTTGCTTCCTATTCTGGGAGCAAAGGAAGTTTCCATTTATGCCGGTGGGCAAGTCTGGCAAAGTTCCACAGAAAAGGTGTCCTTGAGTTTGATCTTGACGACAAGTTTGCCATGTGAAGGTTGGGTGTGGGTGTGCCAGGCAGAGGTACAGCAAGAGAGAACAGTGGGCAGGTGTATGCTGTGGGTGTAGCGGGTAAGTACGGAGACGCTAGGGGACAGTGGACGGGAATGATGGGCTCTCATCTGCACTAGAAGGAGCCACTGAAGATTTCTTTTAAGAAAAGGACTTGAAATGAAATGTTTTTTTTCTTTCCACAAACCATATGCGCTCTTCCCCTAAACACTCCACAAGCTATAGTTCATTTGGGTTATTAAAAGCACAAGACTGAAAAGTAGCAACTTTTGTTTCTCTATCATGCAAGCTTTTTTTTTTTTTTTTCCTTTTCTGTCTTCTTTCTCTGTCAGGAGTTAATACACTTATCAGGAGTCAATAAACTTTGTGGCTTTGTTTTACATAAGGCATTTAATTTATTGTATTGTATTTTATAGTATTTGCCAGATGTTGAAACAATGAATGCTACATTTGCAAAAAAAGGCTTGCATTCATTTCCTACTCAACAAAGAATTCCATTTTCACAGTGCTTTGCCTCAAGGAAATATGAAACTCTTAATTTTATCTTAAAATGTGTGCTTTTAATCTGTTTTCAAACATTAGAAAGTCTCACTGTGTTATTCTTGTTTGATGCTTCTTCTGATTTAAAAAAAAAAAAATCTCAAATTGTATCTATTTTCTAGGCTTACCAAGAGGTTAAAGAGTGAATCCCTGAAATCCGACTTTACGATAGATTTAAAACATGAGGTACGTCATGGTTTATTTGTCAAAAGTCTTAGTAATCAAGAATTCATGTGTTTTGATATAAGAGGTGGCTTTTTTTATTCCCTGACAGCACACCCCTACCCCCCAATGCACCTATGCGTGTCTCCCCACCAAGGTAATTCTTCTCCAGAAAATTAGGTCTTTCCCTGTACGCTCATTTTAATCATGTAGGTGGAGGAGGAGCAGTGAAAAAGATTGCATCCGTGAATCTTGATTTTTTTTTTTTTTAAGCTAGGTGGAGGGGTGCAAAGGTGGATTTCTAAAAACAAGCAAAACTGCCATCAGAGCACCTTTGCTCTTATTTGGTACTTTGGCTGCACAATGCCTTGGTCACGTCTTTCTCCTTGGTTCTCTGGGGCAGAGTTGAACCAGTGGGTCCCAAGCAGGCAGCCGTGCGTGGCATGCCATTTGGGACCCCAGCATCCCTGGCATTTGGGGGACACCTGTGACCAGTCATCCTGGAGGCAGGTGTCCCATCATTAACCATTCCAGGAGCATTGTTAAGAAGGTTTCTTCATGGGTTTCATTCACAGGCACATGCACATCTGACTGCCTAGAACAGCCCCACCTTTCGCTCTGTAGGAACCTGTATCTTAGGACGGGGGCGTCAGTCTTGACATGTCACTCAGGCCTGGAGTGCCGGCAGCATGCCAGGGGCAAAAGGGCACTCACAGGGCTTTACCTTCCTGGCTGTTTGCATGTGATGAAATAGCTTACTGGGGGAGAAATATACATGTAAAAAACCTTTCTTCCTTCCCATAGAAAGGAAGGAATGACTAATTGAAAGCGCAGGTCTGCCTAGATATTTTTAATGAAGAGTGAACTTTGGTATAGCTAGCCAGGTTCGGGAATCTATTAAACACTAAATACCTACAAAGAATATTTCTAACGTATGTGAAAGGTATGAGGATCAGTCAAAATATCTGTGTAATCGCCACCTGGCTTAAGAGCTAGAACATGACCAGTCACTTTGAAACTACCTGAATGTGACGTCCCTGCGTCCCCTTCGTTCTCACTAGTAAACACTTTCTGGAATTCTCTCTTCCTTTTCTTCATCTTTTATAGCATATGACTGTACCTCTGAATAAGACATTATGCAGTTTTGCATCCTTTTGGACTCCAGGTGAACAAAAGTGTACCATGAGTATTGTTCTAACTTGGAACTCATCCACGTCGGTATGCGCAGTGGCTCTAATGAGCTTACTTCCTCTTCCGGCAGGAGTCCCTCCTGTGACCAGAGCAGTCAGCCTACCCCTTCTCCTGGTGGCGGGCTTCTGCACTGCGCTGTGTTCTCTGCTATTACACTCATTACTTTTAGGGGGTTTTTTGGATGTGTGTCTGGACTGTCATTGGCAGGAGTTTCCCTAGGACAGGGGCTTTTAAACTTTTTTTTTTTTTTGCCTCTGACCCATTTTAAAAAATACATTTTTCATTGCGACCCGGTATACTTGTGTGTGTTGTTACTGTGTTGTGTTACTGATTTCTAGCTTAGCATTATTGTGGCCTATATAACAGTAGCTAGAAATATTCTTAGGCTTATTTTGTGGCCTGGTTCATGTTTACTTTTCATGAATGGAGGAAAAGATGTATATGCTAAAATTTGGGGGGGGTATAATAGTGTCTTATTAGATTAAGGAAGAAATAGATTTAATCTCATAAGTTAATCTTCCTTCCTCCCTTCCTTCTACTTTCGTCTGCTTGATGTATCATTTATTAAGGGAGGAATGGGAAGATCTTCCATAATAATGGTATATTTCACAGTGTCTCCTCTTGTAACTTCCAACTCTTGCTTCTTTACTCTGAGACTATGTTAATTAATTGCATACAAATTTAGAATCTTTACACCTTCTTATGAATTCATCTTTATTTCTTGTCATGCTCTTTGCCCTAACATGTATTTTGTTGCTGTGACTGTTTCTATACCAGCTTTCATTTTGGGTTTGCTTTTTAATTATCTCTCATCTTTTTCTTACAGCCCCTTTGTGTTCTCTTTTAGATGCATTTCTCTTAGGACATATCTTTTTTTCCTCCAAGTTTGCCAGTCTTTGTCTTTAAACCAGGTAGCAAATTTACACTTACATTGAACATGATTACCATTATATTTGAATTGATTGCTAACACTTCATTTACTCCCCCCCCCATTTTCTCTCTGGCTCTTTTAAAAATTTCCTTACTATCTATATAGGATTATTTTTTGTTCTTTTTCCATTTTTTTCCTCCTCTGCTATTTTGGAAGTTCTGTCTGTACCTTACTGGTTATTTTAAATATTTTAACATGCATTCTTAACCTAACAAAGGCTAAGTAATTGATGTCCTAAATTCAAGGGACTTAGAATCATTGGACTCTGATTATCCCCTTCCCAGTTTTTTAAAAAAAGATTTTATTTATTTATTTGAGAGAGAGAGAGAGAGAGAGAGAGAGAAAGCACGAGAGGTGGGAGGATCAGAGGGAGAAGCAGACTCCCCACTGAGTGGGGATCCTGATGCAGGACTTGATCCTGGGACTCCTTCCTGGGACTCTGGGATCATGACCTGAGCTGAAGGCAGACACTCAACTGACTGAGCCACCCTGGAGCCTGTCCCCTTCCCAATTTATATGGTCTTTATTAATTAGTATTTTTGTTCTTTTTTTTAACCCCTCAACTTAAATATTATCTTTATTTTATGCAATTCACATCAGTATTAGCTTAACCATGTATTTGCCACTGTCTTTGCTTGGTATCCCATCTTACTTCTAAGACCTGCAAGGTGGGATCATATGTTTTTGGACATTTTAAAATTTAAATTCAGTAAATTAACATATAGTGCATTATTAGTTTCAGAGGTAGAGTTCAGTTATTCATCAGTTGCATATAACACCCAGTGCTCATTCCATCAAGTGCCTTCCTTAATACCCATCACCCAGTTAGCCCATCCCCCACCCCTCTCCCCTCCAGCAACCTTCAGTTTGTTTCCTAGAGTTAGGAGTCTCTTATGGTTTTTCTCCCTCTCTGATTTAGTCATATTTTATTTTTCCTTCCCTTCCCCTATGTTCATCTGTTTTGTTTCTTAAATTCCACATATGAGTGAAATCATATGATAATTGTCTTTCTCTGATTGACCTATTTCCGCTTAGCGTAATACCCTCTAGTTCCATCCACATCATTGCAAATGGTAAGATTTCATTTTTTTGGTGGCTGCATAATATTCCTGTGTGTGTGTGTGTGTGTGTGTGTGTGTGTGTGTGTGTATACCATATCTTCTTTATCCATTCGTCTGTCGATGGACATCTAGGCTCTTTCCATAGTTTGGCTATTGTGGACATTGCTGCTGTAAACATTTGTGGTGAAGGTGCCCCTTCGGATCACTATGTTTGTATCCTTTGGGTAAATACCCAGTAGTGCAATTCTGGGTCATAGGGTAGCTCTATTTTTAACTTTTTGAGGAACCTCTTCCAGAGTAGCTGTACCCAGGTGGGGTCATTTTTATTCTTCTGAGGCACATCCTTTAGAGTTTCCTTCAGTGAGGTGGTACATTCTCATTTTTTTTCCCTTTAAAAACATTTATGTCCACTTTGTTCTTGAAACATAGTTACCTTGTGTTTACAATTCTGGGTTGTCCATTATTTTCTGTCATCACAGTGGCCTTACTACACTGTGTTCTGGCTTCTGTTATTGCTGTGGTGTTGGGAAATCAACGTTGGTCTCACGTGGCTTCTTGGTAATCCCATTCTCTCTGCCTGCTTTTGAGATGTGTTTGGTGTTCTGCAGTTTCACTACTAGATGTCTAGGCGCTGACTTTTTTTTTCTTTTTTTTAACATCCTGCATGGGATTCATTGACCCTTTCCAAAATAGGATTGTTAGGTAATTTTTGGAAATTCTCAGTCATTGTCTTTTCAAGCATGTTCTCACCCCAGTTCTCTCTGTTATCTCCTCCTGGATCTTTAGATGTGTGCTAGCGCTATGAATTTTTCTCTTACATTTCCCACCTCTGTTTCTGCTGTGCTCCATTTCAGATAGTTTGGGGGCCTTCATCTTTTAGTTCCCTAATTTTTTATTCACCGGGGTGTAATACGCTGCTTATCCTAACCATTACATTTTTCATTTATTGTTTTTTATTTTTAGAATAAAAATTTAGTTCTTTCTTTTCAAATTTGCTTATTTTATATAATCTTTGAAAAACTTTTTTGCTAAAGTTTGGAAATTTTCTCTTTATGAAAATGTAGTAAACATAGTAATTTTATAATCTGTGTTTGATAGTTCCAAGACCTGCAGTCTTTTGGGTCCGATTATGTTATGTCTGCTGGCTCTTGATCATCAGCTCACGTCCCTGTACTTTCTGTGATTTTTCTCTGAGTAGTCTTGCTTGGAACTGTATCTGTGGTAATCCTCTGAGTCCTACATTAAGGTGTGGGTTCCCCAGGAAGGATTTGCATTTGCTTTTCCTACTGCTACAGGGTTCTACTGACTTGGGACCACTTTAAATTACTGTTTGAAGTGTTTTAGACCACATTGGTGGCACAAATTAGGGAAGTCTGGTTTTTGATTACAAAATCTCAGAGGAGATTTGGAGATGATTTTTCCCCTCCACCTAGCTCCAAAGTCCCAGCTTTATGTGGTGTTTGCTCTTAAACACTTCCCACCTTGGGTGAGTCATGGGCTTTATTTTCTTAACCCCCATCAGAAACTCAGCATCACCAGAGTTACCATCCACCTACTGAGGGAAACTACCCTTGATGCCCTTTTCCCCAGGCTCTTCCTTTTGCATTTTTGTCCTCACAAGTTCCATACTTTTGTGGCAATTTAGCAATCCATTTAAAATTATTTTAAAGATATTTTATCCAACAGTTTTAGATGTTTTCAGCAAGGCAGTTAGTCAAGGTATGTAATTACCATACTGCAGAAAACCAGCCTCACGGGAATATTTTCTTTCATCTTCCACTGCGATGTTTTAGAAACCCTAAAATAGCTTCCCTGAAATTGCTTATGACAACTTTGGAATTGTTTGGCAGACAGAATATGGATTCTTGTTAATAAAAGATTAGATTGATCCACAGAAATTGCTATTTTTATATCTAAAAAAAATCTGTTGAATAGTGTCAAATTGATATGGTTCAGTCTAAGTGCTCTATAGAAGACGTGGTCTGCTTTTCCTTGAGATATTTTGTACCTTCTTACACTTGTGGTGTTGGCCAGGTTCTTTCATTTGTTGCCGGCTCCTATCCTGACAGATTGCCCTCTACATCTGGGACAAAGGCGATGGGCCTCCCCTCACTCCAGTGCCTGAGTTCTGTACAGATGCTGTGGACTCCTACTGTGCCACCACATTCCATTCTTTTCTACCACTTTGTGTAAGTAATAGAAGAAAAACTTCCTCGCATATCAAAGGAAAATCTATATGCTGTGCATAACGTTGTCCTAGCACTTTAAGTATCTACTGAAAAAAACCCAACATTCGTTATGTGCCAGGTAAGAAGTAGAGATCGTGTTTCTACTAATAACAGCCCTATCAGGTGAGCACTGTTGTTCTCCTAGTTGACACAAGAGAAGAGAGAGGCACTGAGAAGTACTTGTTCAAGGTCACACCGTGAGTCTGGGGGAGGGGCAGGGAGGACTGTGAGGGCACAGACTCACACCGGAGCCTCCGTGCGGAACTGCCTGCCACAGCTCTTCGAGTCAGTATGCTGGAGTCATTTCTCTTGATGATTCAGCATGTGTCTACTGGAATTTCTGTTCCACTTCCTAGAAGGGTGATTTCAGACATTTCCTGCTATACCTAAGCCTTCTCCTCAAGCCTGTCTCCTCTCACCTGAAGACCTTGATTTGGTCTCACCTTGCACTGTCCAGCAGAGCTTTCAGAATGAACTTACTTGTTACGGCATTCGCTTGGTCCAGTCCCCAGGATGAGCCTGAAGACCCCTGAAACTCACTAAGTTGTTAACAGTTCTTTCTCAGAAGGGAAAATATATTCCTCACCCTCAAATGTTGTCTGTTCTTCTCAAGGCGGTCACACAGAAGTCTGTGTGTTGCATATTCAAAGATGAATATATGTATACACACACATGCACACACACACACACACATATTGCAGTAATGGGAGAGAATCTGTAATATTTTCTTAGTTCCTGAGGGGGAAAACCTGTCTCCTGTCTTTCTAGACATGATGCTTGCTTGTTTTTTAATACTCTTTTGGGCAGTCTGGTGGGGTCAACCTCCTAGTGTCTTGAGTTATACGACAAAGCTGTGGTTAAATGTCACTATAAACTGGCCCCAGATGATGTTTGAGTCATGATTGAATATTATGAAAGGCCTAAGACATTTGATAAAGGGGTCAGAACACCCCACGAAGCAGTCCGTGGCCTTGAGTGTAGGCTGTCCACAATCCCCCTGTGTGCCCCTTTCATCTGAGCGGTCAGCTGGGGCTAGGCCAGCTCAGGGCTCCATAATTGCTCCTCCTTCCTGGCGCCCAAGTGTTTGAAGTAATCCTCCCTTTGGCAGAAGACAGAATGTTGCTGTAGCCTAGACTTGGGTAGACAATAAAGGGGCCATAAAGATACTTTGAACATTAAAGTGAGACCAGCCCCACAAGAGAGAGTCTGCTCCTGTTGTACACAAACACAGACCACTGGTTTTCTCCCTTTGTCAAAATCTTCACCAGCTGGGAAAAGGAAAGGGAAGGTGTCTAGCATTTATTGGGCAGTTATAATGTGCTGAATAAATGTAGCAATGACAGCGGCTTCACTGGTGGCTATTCTGACCATCTTCGAAACGAGCAGACTGAAGTCAAGAGCTGAAGAATGTTGTCTGGATGACACCGTGTGCACAGGGCAGGGCTGGGATCCGGGCCCAGGTCTGGCTGACGTCAGAGTACTTGTCAGCTGAATTACAGTTCCTGTTTTCCCCTAAAACTTAATCCCGGAAACAGGTTTGATGTCCTTGACGTTGGTGAAGGTCACCTCTACGGCATGCGAGATCTAACGGGTGTGAATGTGGGTGTTAATATGACACGGACTCATATATGCATATATGTTTTCTTGTTTTCTAGGGAAATCCAGTGAAGAAAGAGGATATATTTTTTGCAGTAAAAACATGCAAGAAATTTCATGGTGATAGAAGTAGGTTTTGTGTTATTCCTTTTTGTTGAACTTTTAAAATCCCAACTGCCTTAAAAAAAAAACAAAACTACAAACCAGAGAGAAACTCAAGAAAGGGATAATGACATATGTACCGTTGAAGTGAAAGCAGTTATTTAGTTAGTATTCCTCATCATACCACTTCAATCACCAAGATCAATTAGAAGGGACTGTTTTGTGTCGAAACATGAGTGGCCCTAGCCCTTCTGAATACTGTTCAGAGCAGTGTTTTAAATTGGAAATGGGAAAGCACAGCTGTGGCAATCTTGGACACAATGTGTGAATAACAATCCATTTTGCAGAATAATGTCCTATCATGTCCATGCACCGGCTCTGAACTGTATGAACAATGTTAGAGGGGATTTCAAGGTGAGAGAATGCCAAAAAAAGGATGTTTTCTCAAAGACATCTTTTTACATTATGGTAGATGCACACTTGGGAACTTTTTAAAGATACGTATTCACTCATGAGTGGATTATATTGCAGAAAAGGCAAGAGGTGGCTTATACACAGCGGTCCCTTCTTAAGAAAATCTTGGCATGCAGATGAATGTTGTTTTTATTCAAGTTTTTGGTGTCATTACAGAATTCTAAGTTATGGTGATAATGTAAAAGAAAAAGCCCATCCTAAATATAAGTAGACATAATTTCTTTCTTTTTTCGCCTTATTTCAAGCTGCACTTTTCTGAAATTGAAAATTAGTCTTTTGCATTTTCTAATTTTAGCATTTATTTTAATTTTTTTCCATGAAAAGACTGTCGATTTCATCAAGAGTGTGATATTTGTGTAGAAGAGATTTCTAAACCAGCTGTCGTTTTCGTGGGATTGGAGCTATGGGGGAAGTTCATTTATACTATTTATTTGATAATATGATACTTAAATATTATACTTTAAAGGGGAACATTTTACAAATAAAAAATATTGTAATTTGGGATTGAAGTATTCAGATATTAACATCAATTAAAATCTGGTTATGATGTGTACAGTATCATACAAGTATGTAACTATAAACCTTCATATTTACCTAAAATAGTCATATAAAGTGCCAAGTCCTATTAAATCAACCTAATATATGCACTCATTATACAAAGAGTCCTAAAGATTATTAAAAATCAATATAGTAGTTAAAATTTTCATCATTCACAAAAATTAACCTAGATTTAATATCCTTTTGCTTTTTGGGAGCAAATCTGGGAGGGCGTTTGGGGACAAGGTTTGACATATTTTGTAAAAAAGTATCAAAGGAAATGAATGAAGGGACTGCCTTTTTTTTTTTTTTTTAAATAGCCCGCAGAAGTGTTCAAATTGATTTATTTGATCTTGAAGCTGCACTTGGAAGTAGTGACTGTTTTCATAATATTGATGTTAAGAATGGTGGTGGTGGTGGTATTTTCTCTTTTGAAACATTTTTCAAGTGACAGTAAAGCAGTAAAATTAGGGATCATCCCTGTTGTATTTTTCATATTCTACAGAAATGAAAAAGAAGTTTGCTAATTTTAATTTAGTAATTTTGAATGATCTATTTATTGCTTTCTTATTTGCATCAGGTTGAGATAATCTTTTCAGATATCCATCAAATGCTTTTACATTTGAATTTCAAGTCAAAGGTCTTTAAAAATTACAAATCTTAAAAGCCTGTTAGGAGCATTAAAACCAAACCTCCCAAAGCTGGATGCATTAATTCACTGCTATGAATTTGAATCTGGGGTCACCGAAGCCTGAGACTTAATTAAAAGGTGTTATGAGGTTTTCACGGTTGGGTTTCTGTGGCAAGCCATCTTTAAACTTGGATGTTTGTTTGAAAAGATAGTCTGAGGCAGCAGGATTTTAGGGACTTTGATATCCATATTGCTGGATAGAAGTGAGCCTGCCAGGCCACTGGGCTCCTCTTCTTTTTTTTTTTTTTAAATTTTTTTATTGTTATGTTAATCACCATACATTATATCATGAGTTTTAGATGTAGTGTTCCGTGATTCATTGTTTGTGCATAACACCCAGTGCTCCATGCAGAACGTGCCCTCCTCAATACCCATCACCAGGCTAGCCCATCCTCCCACTCCCCTCCCCTCTAGAACCCTGTTTGTTTTTCAGAGTCCATCGTCTCTCATGGTTCATCTCCCCCTCCGATTTACCCCACTTCATTCTTCCCCTCCTGCTATCTTCTTTTTTTTTTTCTTAACATCTATTGCATTATTTGTTTCAGAGGTACAGATCTGTGATTCAACAGTCTTGCACAATTCACAGTGCTTACCAGAGCACATACCCTCCCCAGTGTCTATCACCCAGCCACCCCATCCCTCCCACCACCCCCCCCACTCCAGCAACCCTCAGTTTGTTTCCTGAGATTAAGAATTCCTCATATTGGGCTCCTCTTTTTCTTTCGGAAGACTAGTCTAACCACCAGTTGGCCCAGAGAATTATCCAGTAATCATATTCGTTACATTGACAACACCATGTTAACTGCGTCTGCTCATCTTTTTTACATTTTCTGGTGTGTTTTTTACATACATTGTATCATCTGCCTTCATGGTGACAATTCCTTATGATGTGATAATTAACGTGATTCCCTTGATCATGTAGAGAAAGCGGAGTGCGGGACAAGACGCAGCTGGCCCGTTCTTGTAGACTGTTGAGTAGGAGAGCTGGGATTCAGGTTTTCTGGCTCCAAATCCCAAATTCTTTCTGCCACAGCATAGCTGTACTGTCATCTCCTTGGATGTAACAATCTTAACACTTGATAAATGGTATTTGATATTCATGTTGACATTCTGCTAGACTCAAGGCCACTTTTGACTTGGCCAGAAGGTGGGAATGTAGGCTTTCTATTTTCAGTAGCAATGGGGAGAGCCAGAAATTGAAATCCACGGAGGATCTAAAATATAAACCAAGCTGGGCATTCAGACTGCCACCCCTGTCCAAGCATATAACTGCTATAGTCAAGCCGAATACATGGACTGGAGTGGGTTTTTTCTTTTTTCTTTCCCCGTGCACTTTGTGGTAGAAACACTTGAAGTTACAAAGGCCAGATGACAATGAAGGAAAAAGACCCAAAGATAAGACTGGGTATTTATCTTTGAAAAACTGAGAGTTGGCTATACGGTTGGTGATGTATCTGGTGGCAGGTTCTCACTTGTGGGTGCACTGCCCCTGGGGACAGCAGAAGACCCCTCGCAATGCCCCCCATTCCTGACTCCTTATAATGTCAGCCATGTCCAGGGTGAGGGTGAGGGATGGCACGTTCTGTTAAAGGCTCCAGTCAAGGCAAGGGAAAATATACGTTGAACTCATTTTTTATATTCTCAATGAAGAATTGATAATGAGGCAAATTCCAAAATTAAAAAAATTGTATTAACATCTTGTACCTTTTTTGCTTAACGGTGAAACAAACGTTTATGTAACTGCTTTGTGTCTGGATTCTGATTTAAATGAAATAAAGCATTCTTGGGACACAGCAAAAATATATTCTATCTTTTGGCTTAAGAAAGAAATACATATTGACACCATTGAAATAGCAACACACTCTTGAGATGCAAGCAGTTAGTATAGGGTTTTAAGAAACTTTAAACATATTATATAAAGCAAATTAGGCATAGCATGTAAAATTATATTTAAGTGAGGAGAAGGTCTCTGGAGTTTTAATATTCAGCTTCTTCACTTCCTCTTGGATTATGTGTTTTTCCACTGTGTGACGTGAGCTGTCAGAAAATGTTAAGGATTTTTTTTGCACCATTTTGCCACACCATTCCTGTGAGTGTCTTAAGTATCTGGTGGCAGCCACTGCTTTGTTCATCAAGTGCTGGGTCGTGAGATGCTCTCCTGCTGCAGTCCCCTCTGATTAAAGAGGTAAAATTGCTATTTGCTCAGCCTTTCGTTCCTTTTCACAGCTTCCTGAGCACCTAAAAATAAACACTTTATTCCTTTCAGATTGAAAAAACAAAACACCCTGTTATCTTTACCGCAGTCATCTTGTCTGGAAGAAGCCAATGTGAACAAACTTATTGAAAGGGGTGTGTGGTTAGAGAGGCTTACAGGTACTGGGCTGTCTGCTTATTTCAGACATGAGGCTTGGGTTACAATGCAGCCAGGTGGAAGGCTTCACTCTGGGTCAACTGATGTGATCAGATTAATTAATTGAAGAGAGGGAGGGAGTCAGGTGCCGCCCTATTCGGATCTCCCCCTGGCTGTTGAACCGATAAAGAGGTTCCAAGATTGCCTGAAAATGTTGTTTTAGATCAGCCCCCAAGGGATGCCTTTCAGTCTTACGTACACCTCATCTTTAAAATCGGGGGTTGTGTCTTAACCCTCTCCGGAGGAGAGAGGCACAGCCAGGGTTTTGTCATTGACGTGCATACGGAGACAAGAAGTCCATTTGTCAAGTGAAAAGAGCAGATACCTTAACATCGAGAGTCATTCACATTTGACTGTGGGGTAGTTTTTGTACAGTGTTTAAGTGTCTAGTTCATTTTCATTTGTAATCAGTTTGCAAGTAAATTCATCGGGGTAAAAATGTATGTTCTGTGCTTCCTAGCGAGACACATCTCCTCCTGCTTCAAGTCTGTAAAGCCATGTGGAAGATTTATACCATCTGTGCAGTGGGGTTTGTTTTTTCTTTAATAGCACAAGTTTTACTTTGCTCCAATTATAAGTTATCTTGTGGTAAACCTTGAAAGAGGCATTCACTAGTGTTTTATTAGGGGGTAGAAAGTATGCCTCTCTGTACTGAAAATGAGATAATTGATCATGTAACTATTGAAATATTTTCTCAAAGTTTAATATACTTAGGAACACAGTGCCTCAATATAAAATATTTTATAACTAGAATGAATTCAATTTAGAATTCAAACATTGCTAATAAAATCGACCAATATTTTAAAAGTATTAAGTAACTTAGAATCAACCCTAGTTAAAAATAAAGGCTTTACCTGCTGTTATAGAAGACTTAGGCTTAGCTTTAAATTCTTTATAGCTGCCAGATATGGCAAATGCCTCAGGAGTTACAGTTATTAGGGGACAGATGATAAAAATTGTTGAATGCTTCTGGGATTATAGAATCATAGCACCCTACTATATTAAAATGGCTGGTGTATCTTTATATGATTCTTAATGGTGGCAACAGTCTTGTACCAAATGATGAATTGCCTTTATGGATAAAACCTTCCTTTAAACTAGTTCCAAAAATAGCCTTAAGCCAGGGTCCTGGGATCGAGTCCCACATTGGGCTCCCTCCTCGGCGGGAAGCCTGCTCTCCCTCTCACACTCCCGCTGCTTGTGTTCCTGCTCTTGCTATCTCTGTCTCTGTCAAATAAATAAATAAAATCTTTTTTAAAAAAAAAAATCTCAAAATACTGACCTGAAGATTTAGTTCACTGGAGTGGAGGTTCTTAAACTGCCAGGGTTTGCAATCTAGATAGGATGATTTTTTTTCTATTAAAACAACAGAAACCTCTTCTCAAAATTTAGAGATGCACAGATAGTAGCTAAAAAATATATATATAATAATTACGCAGATATTTGGTCGGGTGAATTAATATCAAATAGTGATCAGGTAGAATTCTGTCAAATGTGGAGACAGGAGATGCTTAAAATAGCTTTAAATTACGGAAAACTGGGAAAGTTTTCTGTTGTTTGTATTTCTTTTATTAAAACAATTTATCTGTTAATGGTAGTGGTAAAAAATCTGCAGTTGTTCTCAATCTTTTTTCTTCCACATTTTTCAGAAGTGTAGCACAAGAATATCAGCTATCCTAGGCAGTGGTTCTCAGTGGTAGGGTCATTCCCTGGATAGGATTTCGTGGTTCTGTTGGAATCGTTGGGTGGGGACGTGAATAGTTTGAGAAACCCCCTACCCCCCCCACCATCGTAAGGGAGACATATTTGCATCTCAGCCAGAAACGCAGAATATTCCCATCCCTTAGAAGTAATTATATTCCTCACCCCTCTAAGAAGCATTTGAAAAATCCAGTTGTGAATTTTAAATGAAATAGCCTATGGGGGAAAGAGGAAAATTAAAACACTACAGTATAAGCAGATTAGGAAATGGATCATTACATGGACTCGAGGAATGAGGAATCACAGGAATGAGAAGGGTTGGGGTTTAACGTACATTGAAAACGTCTCAAGGAGAGGGTTCCACGCAGGTGTTGTCATCGACCAACAACCTGACATTTCTCAGGGTAGGAAAAGCATGCAGGTTGGGATACCCGAAGAACAAATAATGCTTCTCCTCCTTTATAGGTGATTGTGCTCCCCTTCATGATGCTAAGCTTTCCTGCAGAACTGTGCCAGTGACTGTCACTCCTCTCATTTTTTCAGTCCCCATTGTAAAGCAGACCTGGGCGGGCCAGGCAAGTGTCATTGAATACTACAGTGATCACGCAGAAAGTTCCATTCCTACAGTAGATCTGGGGATTCCCAATACAGATAGAGGTGAGTCATTAATTCATACTACTCTTATTCAGAATGTCCATTATCCTAAGTTAGGATAAAAATGAAATATCTTATAAATACTATGATTTTTGCCTTATGTAAGTTTCGCTTCTTCCCCTCCCAACATCTTTACCCATGGATATGGATCAATTCTCTCAGATTAAGAGCTGCTTTATAAGTATTAAGAAAGGTTGTAAGTTGTTAGGCCATGTTGATATGACTGACTGAGCATATGACAATTAGGATTATTTAACATATTTTTTTATACCTTCATAATTCATTGTGGCCATTCTGACTGGTGTGAGGTGATATCTCATTGAGGTTTTGATTTGGATTTCCCTGATGCCAAGCGATGTTGAGCACTTTTTCATGTGTCTGTTGACCATTTGGATGTCGTCTTTGCAAAAATGTCTGTTCATGTCTTCTGCCCATTTCTTGACTGGATTATTTGTTCTCTGGGTGTTGAGTTTGATGAGTTCTTTATAGATCTTGGATTCTAACGCTTTATCTGATATGTCATTTGCAAATATCTTCTCCCATTCTGTCGGCTGTCTTTTGGTTTTGTCGACTGTTTCCTTTGCTGTGCAAAAGCTTTTTATCTTGATGAAGTCCCAATAGTTCATTTTGCCTTTGTTTCCCTTGCCTCTGGAGATGCATCTAGCAAGAAGTTGCTGTGGCTGAGGTCGAAGAGGTTGTTGCCTGTGTTCTCTTCTAGGATTTTGATGGATTTTTGTCTCACATTTAGGTCTTTCAACCATTTTGAGTCTATTTTTGTGTGTGGTGTAAGGAAATGGTCCAGTTTCATTCTTCTGCATGTGGTTGTCCAATTTCCCAACACCATTTGTTGAAGAGACTGTCTTTTTTCCATTGGACATTCTTTCCTGCTTTGTTGAAGATTAGTTGACCATAGAGGTTAGGGTCCATTTCTGGGCTCTCTATTCTGTTCCATTGATCTATGTGTCTGTTTTTGTGCCAGTACCATACTGTCTTGAAGATGACAGCTTTGTAATAGAGCTTGAAGTCCAGAATTGTGATGACAGTGGCTTTCGTTTTCTTTTTCAACTTTCATTTGGCTTTGGGGTCTTTTCTGATTCTGTACAAATTTTAGGATTATTTGTTCCAGGTCTGTGAAAAATATCGATGGTATTTTGATAGGAATTGCATTGAATGTATAGATTGCTCTGGGAAGCATAGATATTTTAACAATATTTGTTCTTCCAATCCATGAGCATGGAACATTTTTCCATTTCTTTGTGTCTCCCTCAATTTCTTTTATGAGTATTCTATAGTTTACAGAGTCCAGATTCTTTGCCTCTTTGGTTAGATTTATTCCTAGGTATCTTGATGCAATTGTAAGTGGGATCAATTCCTCAATTTTCCTTTCTTCTGTCTCATTATTAGTGTATAGAAATGCAACTGATTTCTGTGCATTGATTTTATATCCTGCCACTTTGCTGAATTCCTGTATGAGTTCTAGGAGTTTTGGGGTGGAGTCTTTGGGGTTTTCCACATAAAGTATCATATCATCTACAAGGAGTAAGAGTTTGACTTCTTCTTTGCTGATTCTGATGCCTTTTATTTCTTTTTGTTGTCTGATTGCTGAGGCTAGGACTTCTAGTACTATGTTGAATAGCAGTGGTGATAGTGGACATCCCTGCCCTGTTACTGACTTCAGGGGAAAAGCTCTCAGTTTTTCCCTGTTGAGGATGATATTCACTGTGGGTCTTTCATAGATGGCTTTTATGATTTTGAGGTATGTTCCTCTATCCCTACACTGTGGAGAGTTTTAATCAAGAAAGGATGCTGTACTTTGTCAAATGCTTTTTCTGCATCTATTGAGAGCATCATATGGTTCTTGTCCTTTCTTTTATTAATGTAGTGTATCACATTGATTGATTTGTGGATGTTGAACCAACCTTGCAGCCGAGGGATAAATCCCACTTGGTCGTGGTGAATAATCCTTTTAATGTACTGTTGGATCCTATTGGCTAGTATTTTGGTGAGAATTTTTGCATCCATGTTCATCAGGGATATTGGTCTGTAATTCTTTTTGATGGGGTCTTTGTCTGGTTTTGGGATCAAGGTAATGCTGGCCTCATAAAATGAGTTTGGAAGTTGTCCTTCCACTTCTATTTTTCTGGGGTGAATTTTTCTATCTTGTCATTTTGTCCAGAGAAGAATAGATGAACAGGATAACAAAATACAAATCTAGAAAATTTATTTTGTCTGATATAAGGATTGCTACCCCAGCTTTCTTTTGTCCATTTTGAACTATTGGGACTTCATCAAGATAAAAAGCTGGCCTCATAGAATGAGTTTGGAAGTTTTCCTTCCATTTCTCTTTTTTGAAACAGCTTCAGAAGAATAGGTATTAATTCTTCTTTAAATGTTTGGTAGAGTTCCCCTGGACTCTTGTTTGTTGGGAGATCTGTGATTACTGCTTGAATTTCCTTGTTGGTTATGTGTCTGTTCAGGTTTTCTATTTCTTCCTGGTTCAGTTTTGGTAGTTTATACGTCTCTAGGAATGCATCCATTTCTTCCAGATTGCTTAATTTGTTGGCTTATAAGTTGCTCAAATATGTTCTTATAATTGTGTTTCCTTGGTGTTGGTCATGATCTCTCCTCTTTCATCCATGATTTTATTTATTTGGGTCCTTTCTCTTTTCTTTTTGAGAAGTCTGACCAGGGATTTATCAATCTTATTAATTCTTTCAAAGAACCAGCTCCTAGTTTCATTGATCTTTTCTACTGTTCTTTTGGTTTCTATTTCATTGATTTCTGCTCTAATCTTTATTTTCTTCTCCTGCTTGTTTTAGGCTTTATTTGCTTTTCTTTCTCCAGCTCCTTTAGGTGTAAAGTTAGGTTGTGTATTTGAAACTTTTCTTGTTTCTTAGGACTGCCTTTGCTGCATCCCAAAGATTTTGAACAGTTGTGTTTTCATTTTCATTTGTTTCCATGAATTTTTAAAATTCTTCTTTAATGTCCTGGTTGACCCATTCATTCTTTAGTAGGATGCTCTTTAACCTCCATGTGTTTGTTTTCCTTCTAAATTTCCTCTAGTGATTGAGTTCAAGTTTTAAAGCATTGTGGTCTAAAAATATCTAGGGAATAATTCCAATCATTGGTACTGGTTGAAACCTGATTTATGACTCAGTGTGTGATCTATTCTGGAGAATGTTCCATATGCACTCGAGAAGAATGTGTATTCTTTTGCTTTAGGATGGAATGCTCTGTATATACCTGTGAAGTCCATCTGGTCCAGTGTGCCTTATTTCCTTGTTGATCTGTCCATTGCTGTGAGTGGGGTGTTAAAGTCCCTTACTATTATTGTATTATCAAGTGTTTCTTTAATGTTGTTATTAATTGGTTTATATAATTGGCTGCTCCCACGTTAGGGGCAAAAATATTTACAGTTGTTAGATCCTTGTTGGATAGACCCTTTATGATACAGTGATCTTCTTCATCTCTTATTACAGTCTTTGGTTTAAAATCTATTTTGTCTGGGGTGCCTGGGTGGCTCAGTCGTTAAGCGTCTGCCTTCGGCTTAGGTCATGATCCCAGGATCCTGGGATCGAGTCCCACATCGGGCTCCCTGCTCGGCAAGAAGCCTGCTTCTCCCTCTCCCATTCCCCCTGCTTGTGTTCCTGCTCTCGCTATCTCTCTCTCTGTCAAATAAGTAAATAAAATCTTTAAAAAAATAAAAAATAAAATAAATAAAATAAAATCTATTTTGTCTGATATAGGGATTGCTACCCCAGCTTTCTTTTGTCCATTAGCATGATAAATGGTTCTCACCCCCCTCACTTTCAATATGGATGTATCTTTATAATCGTTATTCTCAATTCTAGTTCTGATATCTTTCTTATATCCATACTGATTAAGTGTCTGGCAGTTAGTACTGCCTCTTTTTCTCTTTTCTGGGGTGAATTTTTCTGTCTTGTCATTTTGTCCAGAGAAGAATAGATGAACAGGATAACAAAATACAAAAATATCAACCATGACCCCTGAAAAATATGTACTAAACAAATCAGAAGCGATCAGAAACCAAAGAAGAAAAAAAAGGAAAAAGAGAATATAATCAAACAGGTGGACTGAACAGAGTAATACACTAGGTCCTGGGTGTATTTTGGTCTGTTTGTTAGAAAATAGATCCCAAAATTGTAAAGAAAGAAAAACTTATGTATATACAAAAATAAAATTGAATACAATGAAAGGAGGCCAAAAATGAAGAATATATATATGTAAATGTAAAAACGAAAATTAAAAAAGACTTAAAAGTGTTGATAAAAATAAGAAACTAGCTGAAAAGGAAAAAAAGAAAAAAAAATTTAAACTGAAAGCCTAATGAATCATGAGAAAAAAACCTCAAATTCTATATACTATTTTCCCTTAACCCTGGAGTTTTGCAATTCTGTGTGCTTCGTAAACTTGGTCTTGGCCTGATGTTCCAGCTGGTCTTCTGGGAGAGGGGCCTGCTGCACTGATTCTCAGGTGTCTTTGCCTGGGTGGGGTTGCACCGACCCTCGCTAGGGGGCCGGGCTCAGTGTAAGCTGCTCAGGGTTGCTCTATGTGGCTTTTGTTCCCTGAAGGCTTTCTGCTCAGCTTTAGAGGATGAAAATGGTTGCGCCCTGGTCTCCAGCCCCAGAACTGACAGTTCGCACCCCACATTCTTCAGTGAGCCCTCACAGAAAAGCAGTCAGTCATTCTTATCTCCCTGGTTTCCCTCCACACTCTGTTCACCCGCCTGTGACTGAGCATTCTTATCTCAGGCACATGACCCTGTTATGTCTCCAAACTTTATAATATAGACTCCTGCAGCGCACACATGCACCGCTCCTCCTGGGGCAGGGAGAGGACTCTCGCCACTGTTTTGCCGCTTGCTGGGCCCCTGCTCAGACAGCAGTCCACCGATCATGCCGTGGTTTGTGGTTTATAGCAACACAGGGCTGAGAGTCCACTCCTGGGCTTGCTGATTGCTTCTGGCTTCCCTGCTCCGATGC